CAAGATTGACACACTCAGCTAGTTTAACCAAAAGATAAAAAGAAAACTAATAAAATTAGAGGTAAAAACAGCAACATTACAATAGACAACATCAAAATCCAGACAATCGTAAGGATAGACTATAAAAGACTGCACTTCACCAAACGTGAAAACATTAAAGAAGTGTATGAATTTCTTGATATTTACAACTTAACTACATTAAATTAAACATCAAATAAACAATTTAAACAGGCCTATAATGTCAAATAGAAATAGTCACTAAAATATTTCTAACCAGAAAGGAGCCCAGGGTCATATGAATTGAACGCAGAATTTCTCCTCATTATCAAAAAAGTATTAAAACCCATGTACCTCAAAGTATTCTACAAAATAGAAACTGAAAGTAACATTTCCTAATTCTTTTGATGAAGCCTCTATTATTTTGATGTCAAATCTATATGAAGACTTGTTGTGGGCTGTTCACCAGAGAATACTTCTCACACATGGCCAATAGTTGGCCAGTGACTACACTGGGTGTTTGGGATTCCAGTGTATCACCAGGCCTTCAGAGTGAGCTTTTAAGCATACACACACACACACACACACACACACACACACACAAACACACACACACACACACAAAATGTTGGGTTGACATACTTCAATCAACAAGAACAGTTATCCAGAAGCTGAACTACAATGCTAAAAAGCATGGTTGGTACATTTTGATTCCTTCCCAGAACTATATGGAGTTTGTTGGAGTAGACCTTTGTTTAAGTTTTGGCAGGTGGTGCTGTCTACTTGCTGAATTTTACAACCTGAATGACACTTCCATCATGGACTCAGTTTTGTTAAGGTCTGGGGCAGTTACAGACCCAACCCCTCCCCCCCAAAAAAAAATTTAGATCAATATCTCTTATGAACATGGATACAAACATTCTTAATAAAAAATTGCAAATTTAATTTAAGAACCGTTCAAAATAATATACACCATGATCATGTTGCCTTCATTCAAGGGATGTACAGACATTTTAACTCATGTAAACATTAAATGCAATCTACTACATAAAGAAATTGCAAGACAACATGATCATCTGATTAGATGCAGAAAAGGCCTTTGACAAAATCTAGCCTTCCTTTCATGACAAGGCTTGGAGAGAGTAGGACGACAAGGGACATACCTCAAACACGATAAAAGCAATTTAGAGCCAACACACAGCCAACATCAAATGGAGAGAAACTCAAAGCAATTTCACTAAAATCAGGAAGAAGACAAGGATGTCCACTCTCTATAACAACTCAATAAAGTACTTGAAGTTCTATGTAGAATATTAAGACAACTGTGGAAGATAAAGGGGATTCAAAAAGGAAAAGAAGTCAAAGTATATTTATCTGCAGATGATATGATTTTATACAAAAAAGACCATATGTCTCCACCAGGAAACATCTACAAATGATAAACACTTTTAGCAAAGTAGTAGTATAAAACTAACAAAAACAAACAAACAAAACACCCTAACACAGAAATCAGTAGCCTTTTAAGGAGAAGAGGCTGTCTCTGGCAACATTGCTTGTCTTTAGACCCCTTTCCTTAAGTGGGGAAAGTAGATATACCTAGTCTTACTACAACATGATATACCAAAGCTGGTTGGTATCTATGGGAGGCTTCCTATTTTCTAAGGAAAAGAAGAGGAAGGAAGGATTTTGTTTTTTGTTTGTTTGGGTTTTTTCTGTTTGTTTGAGTTTTTTGTTTTTTAATTAAATTTTTATTTTTATATTAATTACAGTTTATTCGCTTTGTATCCCAGCTGTAGCCCTCTTCCTCATTCCCTCTCAATCCCACCCTCCCTCCCTCTTCTCCTCCCATGCCCCTCTCCAAGTCCACTGATAAGGGAGGTCCTCCTCCCCTTCCATCTGACCCTAGCTTATCAGGTCTCATCAGGACTGGCTGCAGTGTCCTCCTCTGTGGCCTAGCAAGGATGCTCCCCCAGCAGTGAGCTGGGGTCATCAAAGAGCCAGCCACTGAGTTCATGTCAGAGACAGTCCCTGTTCCCCTTACCACTTGGATACTGAGCTGCCATGGACTACATCTGAGCAGGGGTTTTAGGTATCCATGAATGGTCCTTGTTTGGAGAATCAGTCTCAGAAAAGACCCCTGTGCTCAGATATTTTGGTTCTGTTGCTCTCCTTGTGGAACTTCTGTCCTCTCCAGGTCTTACTATCTTCCCCTTCTTTCATAAGATTCCCTGCACTCTGCCCAAAGTTTGGATATTTTGATAGAGAAGGGAGGGAAGGACAGACAAGAAGAGGAGACAGGGAAAGCTTCAATCAGGTTGTAAAGTACATAAACAACTTAATGAAAAAGTGACAAAATAAATAAGAAAAATGAAACACAACAGAAAAAAATAAATACACAGGACCGACTGTAAAGCATGCAGCAGGCATTGAAAGCAGTACTGAAATAGAGCAGGTCCATAGTGTCTTGCTGTGTCCTAAATAGCCCTCAGCTGTGGTACTCATTTTTTTATTATTACTAAATAACATCCTTGAAAAGTATTTTAAAAGTGATCACTTTGGATTATCAAAAGTATCTTCCAAGGCCATTCTTGGTTTAGGGAGTAGCTGGAGGGAAAAAGGCAAGACTGGAGTTAAGTCCAAAAAGCCAGAACCCCTTGCACACCGCTCATCTTCCTTCTCCTTACTCACAGAGACTATAATCACGATCAGAAAGTTTCGCGTTCTGCAAATGACAGACATCAGGGAGAAGGCAGGGCTGGCCTCAGAGATGGAGACAGAAGGAACTTTTCCCCTGATAGGCCAAACTCCTGGGTATGACGTCCTGACACTTTCCTTGAGCACAGGGACTTGGGGCTGATAAAAGGGCCTGGCTGGTGCTGTAGGACAGCGACCCTGAGTCCTGCACAGACTGCACAGGTGAGTGCTGCATGTCATGGCGGATGAGGCTGCATTTGATGTCAGAAAGTCTGTGGAGGGCTGAAGTGTGGGTGAGAAGGATGTGGGCTCCCTGTCACTCTGGAAGAGGAAAGTGGCAGGATTCAGGGAGGAGGTCATCTATCATTTCCAAAATGCATTCCTGAATTGTTGGGGTGTCCACAAGGAGAGTGTGTGTGGTCACAAGGCCAGAGATGCTCCTTCCCCAGGGCAGGCAGGGATAGGAGACAGAGGCAGCTACAGTCCAGCTGGAGTAGGAAGCTCTTGCTCACTCAGCTTCTGCACAATCTTTGTGTGATTTCTCCCTCCAAAGACTGAGAACTTTGATCTGAGCTGTATGACTTCTAGTGACTTCAGTCTATGTGGATGAAGAGCTAAATCTAGCTTTATTACAATTCCATTTGTTGTAAATTTCTCCTTTCCTAGACCCAGTGCAAACCATGAAATATGAGAATTGTGTATAAAGTGGACATGAGGTTACATACTAACACTAACAATGGATTTTAGAGAATTGATCTTTAGAACATGCTGGGCACTTTCAAAAGTATTATGTATGTCAGCTCACTGACTCCCTAAAATACACCTATTGGATAATACATCACTTACATATAAAAAAATTGTTTCTATAAAAAACAAATAATAAACACAAAGTGATAAATAGATGAATAAGGGAATCAGAATTTACATCCACAGTAGATGATCACAGAGCATCTTCTGTATCCTGAACTTTCTAACGTTTTGGCAACACCCGAGCTTCTGGAATATTTATAGCCCTCCACCACATCATTTGTGGCAAAAATTCTTCCTTCAATTGGATGAACATGGACTGAACTGTTTCATTCTAGTATGGTGGATGTAAGAGGCTTGTGGAAGCTAGTTAAAATGTACATATGTGGACTGAAGAGCTGGCTTGGTGGTTGAAGACTCTTACTTCTAATGCGGAGCTCCCTATTCAGCTTTCAGCACCACATGACAACAAACCATCAGCTACAATTCCAGCTCCAGGGAATCTAATGCCTTATGTCTGAAGGCAGCAGGCACATAGTCATGCCCAGGCATATATGCACACACAAAAATATAACTATAATTAAAAAGAAATAAAAGGAAATAAAATATAAATGTCTCTCTGACGGTTCTGTGAGTAGGTGTAAATAGGTAATTTTTCAGTACAGGTGTGACACTACTCAGAAAACAAAGAAAACTTCTTTATTTCAATAAATATAATTGGTATCTCCAAGAACCAACGAGGTACATTTGTAAAAATATACAGTCCTGAAAAGATCATTACAGAGATAATGCTACTAAAAACTAGCCACATTGACACATGCCTTTAAAGATAGTCCATGATAGTCGGTGGATCTGTGGGAACTTGGACATTTCCCTTCCCTGTGCATGCAAGGAAACACAGAAAACATTACTGAATGAGAAATACAAATTGGACTGATCCTGCAGAACTTTAAGGAAAGAGAACCACCAGGACATCTTTTCTAGATAGCCTTTCAGTTCATCTCTGTGGGTTATTTCCGATAGTGCAACCCAGTTAGCGGTTTATGCATAAGCCATTTTTTAGAGCATTCCATAAGAGCATCTTTCAGGTCTTCTCAGCACAGAGGGGCTGGTATGAGGGGATGAATAAACAGCACAGTCCTGAGTGTTCAGGGAAGTTGTAAGAGACACATTTGTGACCTGTGGGAACTTAACTATGAAAGGTCATGGCTGGAATCAAATCAGGAAGAGAACATCGCACACAGCCTTGCCAAAGGATTGAGTATCAGTGTTATGATAGCTGAAGAGAAGCTGAAAGTAATCCACAGATAAATTTGCTGAACAGTAGAGAAAACAAAACCGTGGAAGACAAATACAATTAAAGTTTCCACATGAAACAATTTATAATTTGTGAACATGGAATCAAAATGAATACATTTATGTTTTAATCCTCATTTTAATTTTAAACAATGATAATACAGAAAACAAATGTCATGTGTAAAATTGCTCAAATCAGTATAACCTATTAGGTTATGTGTCATTTAAAGGATACAGCATTACTTACTGACAAAATCAATGATTTGATGACTTTGGAAATCAAAGTTGTAGGAGTGCCTTTGAAGTCCAGAGGAACAATGCCTAAGCTGAGAGCAGAGATTGTCAGGAAAAGTACATAAATGGGGGGGGAGGGTACTTTTAATATGATCACACAAATAAGATACTACAAAAAATTAATTGCACCATCTCACTCAATCTATGTGTTATTTATCACCAAGGTCAATTCAGAATTGCACAAAGAGAAAAGCCACATGTACTTACCTGCAAAGCAACACCATTTAGCCAAGTATCGCAGTTCTTTGGAGAAACTCCTACTTTTTGTTAGCGCAATGAATGCTTGAGAGATGAATGTGCACAGGATGGCAAATCAGATCTGGGATGGAAGGCTGCTAAGTTGATGTTGGATATCGTGGCCTGGAAATTAAGTGATGCTATCCTTTATTTGGAAGTTCCCATGGAGAAAAGGTTTAGAGATAAAGAATGTAACGAACTATCTTCTGTAAAAACAGTGGATGCACCAGCATGATGCTCATGTCCAGTTGTCATCATCTTCTCCGTGTCAGTGGAAGCAAGAAAAAAGGCACAAGAATAAAATCAGGTATTTACAAGCATATTTACATAATGTACTGTTCTTTTCACTATAGAAAACAGAAAACTCATAGGCATGAACCATATCATGCTGATGTCCTTGTGTTTCTCAAAAGGATTTTCTTAGTTCTGGGCATGAAGATGATTTGGAGAGACCTCATCCAGAGGATGATTTTCATTTCACTCACAGGACTTGGAGTTTTAGGGAATACCATCTTATTTGAGAGACATGTATATACTTTCACCATGGATCCTGAACACAGGAATATAGATATTATTCTCATCCACTTGGCTTTTGTAAACACAATCATTATTTATTGCATAGGGGTCAGAAAAATAGCCACAGTTTTCTATATCAGAAACTTCCTAAATGATGTTGGTTGCAAAACTGTAATTTATCTAGAAAGGGTTGCTCGTGGCCTCTCCATCTGCACCACCTGTCTGCTCAGTGTGGTCCAGGCTGTCACCATCAGTCCCAGGACCAGCCTTTGGAGAAAGCTCAAACCACAGACTGCATGGCATGTTCTTGCATTTCTTCTGCTCTTTTGGATCTTTAATTCCCTGATAAGCTCCAACTTGCTCCACTACATCACAGCAAGCAGTAGAATGAACAGGTCTGAAGTTGGGATGTATAATGATTATTGTTATATGCTGCCATCCAGGCACACAGTTAAGTGGCTTTTCCTCTCTCTCATGGCTCTTCGTGATGTCATTTTTCAGGGTCTCATGGGCTGGAGCAGTGGGTCTATGGCTCTCCGTCTGTATAAACATTACACACGCGTGCTCTACCTTCACAGCTCCAGGTCTGCACATAATTCCAGGCCAGAAATCAGAGCTACCAAAAGTGTTCTCACTCTCATGACCTGTTTCCTTTTCTTTTATTGGGCAGATTTTATTTTCTCCTTCTACACAGGTTCCACAGTGACACATGATTCCATAATAGCAAATACTAAAGCATGTTTAGTACTTAGTTATGCAGCTCTCAGCCCCTTTGTCCTGATCATTAGGAATATGCATGTTGCTAAGCCCTGCTGTGTCCCATGAGAAATAAGAAATTCCTTTTCACATCCAGTTCTTTATGATCTAATGCTATGCAGCTCTTATGAGGACCCACAAATTTTCCTGCCTTCTTTTTCGTGCTAACATACTTCCATGATCACTCCCTCTACTTATTTACAAAACACTGTCTGTGTCCAAGACACTATTCTGACCCAGTGAGCAGGAAATTAACTGCATAAGGTTGTGGGAAAGCACCCTTTATCTGAAGGTGTCTTGCAAAGTCGAGGTGACCAGGGAAAGAAGCTAATTCACTACAACTAGTAAATGTTTGGCATTGCCATGTATCAAGCACTAAAGAATGGGTCAGAATAAACACTGTAAGGCAGTTCCAAACACATTGAAGACATTGATGTGTGGACACAAAATATGCAGGAGCGTGCAGGGGAAATGTCGTCTTTCAGACTGACATTGCAGCTGGGAAAACAACCTCTAAGTGAGAGCCTCACTCCTCAGCACAATGTTGTGTAAACAGCTCAGGAATATTGTAGCACAGGAGCTGGCTCCCACTTCCATTTGCTCACTAGGCCTCACACAGAACATGCAGCATTTGCGAGGTGGTCTGGACCCCTGGATAAGCCATGAATCTAGATTTTAATCACTCCATCTTCCCAATTGCTACTAAGGCACATGAGATTCAGCTACTGATATAAGGACTGCAATGCTGAGGGTACGGAAAGGAGCTGCTTGCTGAAGCCCATGCATGGTGGCCTTGTTGGGTAACAGAACCTTGGGGGGTCCAAGAACTCCAATGCCTCCATGCCAGGAGGACATGAAGGGACAAGAAAGAGTCTTGAGCCTGTATCCTCCAGGCTCCCCATGCTGCAGGCTTCCTAGGGAGACTCTTGTCAATGCCCTGTGTGCACGGCCTGGAGAGCTGAGGTGTTGTGCACCAAAACTGTCCATCAGCTCAGTGCAGCTCCTACCTGAGAAGTGTAAACATCTCACTGAAGGAGTACCAAACAGAGCCTGGCAGGGTGCTAAGGCCACTCTTTTTCCTTGGTCCTCTCCTGGGTCAAGAGTTGAAACTCTCCAAAGGAACACATTCAACAGTCCTGCTGATGGGTTTCTCAAAAATTAACGTCTCTTGACTAAATTTTAATGATGTTCAACTAGGTTAAAGATCACAGTGGACAGAAGGGCTGTCTCTCCAGGGACCTGTGAGCGTTCACACAGGGTATCCAGTCTTTCTCACAAGTGGGTAGTGGACATGAACAAGAGGTCAGTGCCTCACCTTGCATTCCTATCCAAAGCTGTTTATTGTCTGTATTTTTCTGACATTTCTGACATTAAAATAAAAACTCTATATAATAATTAACCTTGTGTGTATGTAGTTTTGATAAGCAATATGAAATCCCACAACTAAGCTATATCTGAGAAGTATTAAAGAGGCTAACGCAATAAAATTTTACTTACATCTCCAGATGGGGTGCAGAGAACGTGAATAGGTTAAATATGAGCACCAGATGAAGGAAGTGTTATAAAACAATAAATTCACAGAACGAATTCTGCTTGTGGGAATTTGGGGTTCTATACAGCCATGCTGGTGATAAATGCGGATGGTTAAGGATAACGATCCTCACTAGTGAGGCTGGGGAAGTGGTTTAGCAGGTAAGAGCACTTGTAGCTCTAGCAGCAGATTCTCCATCTGTACACACTGAGGTTCCCAAATTCCTGGATCTCTAGCTTCAGAGGTTCCTGTGTGCATCAGGCACGCATGTGATGCATATCCATATATTCAGGAAAACACAAGAATTAAAGAATAGTTAGGCATGACACTCATAAAATTAGGTTAAATACATTTTTAAATTTGTTTCTTTTTTATTTGATTGTTTGGGGGAGGGTCTGGGTACTTTGTTGTTTAGTTTTGTTTGTTGGTTTTTTCTTTTGTTTTGGCTTTGTTTTTGTTTTTGTTTTGTTGTTGTTTGGTTGAGTTTTTTGTTTGGTTTTGGTTTTGAGCTTTGGGGAATTTTAGAGGAGGTTGTTGTTGTGGGGCTTTTAGTTTTATTGGGTTTTGTTTTGTTTTGTTTTGTTTTGTTTTGTTTTGTTTTGTACTATGAAAGATATTCCTTAAGGAAAAGGATTTCAGGTCAGCTCCAACTTGAATCTTCCAAGTCTTGTGTGTCAAACATGGTATCTTTAGCAATTGAACTTACCTTATCTTACAGAAGGCAACCAAGTATGGCAGCAATAGCCTATAATATTTTGGAAGTCTCTTGGACTTCTATGACCAACAACTCCAAAGGAGATTTTGCATGTCTAACCCTGGAGTTTCTGACAGATAAACTTGAGGAAACACTATCTCCTCAAGTGGCACAACTTTATTGAATCCATGTATATACTTGCATGCATGATACGTAATTTTAAATAAATGTAAAATAATATGATTCCTTACGTGTAGTGGTTTGGGAAAATGGCCTCCACAGTCCCATTGGTGTTGTTAGACAGTGTGGTCTTGTGGGAGTAGTTGTAGTCTTGTTGGAGGAAGTGGCCAGTGAGGGTGGGCTTTGAAGTCACAGACGTTCAAGCCTCGCACAGTTATGGCAATCTCTTCCTGCAGCCTATGAATCTAGATGTAGAACTCTAAGCCTTCTTTCCAGCACCATGTCTGCCTGCGTGCCACCAGGTTTCCCACCATGACAATACTGATCTAAACCTCTGAAACTGTAAGCCAGCTCCAATTAAATGTTTTCCTTTATAAAAGATGCCATGATCATAGTGTCTCTTCACAGTAATAGAAACCCTAAGTAAAACACTATGGATTTCTCAAAACCTCCTTAGTGTTATTTATTCCTCCTCTTCTTACCTTCTACAGTGACCACACTCCCCTCCAAAATTACACCCCATTTTCCCTTTCATATCACATCCATCCTGATAGCCCTCTCTCAAATGCCCCTCCCCAGCCCCAACCATGCATGTCAATAGTCCTTTTTACATTCCTGGCTTCTGCAGTTATTCCAGGTTATGGACTCACATCTGAATGTTTGGAGCTAGGAACCATAGTTGAACAGTATGAACCACAGGAACACATGAAAGATCCCAAATGCCCAAAATAATATTGAGTAAAAAGAATAATTCTGGAGGAGTTACACTGTGCAGCTTCTAAATACAACATAAAGACATGGCAAAATAACAGCATGGAAATGTCACAAAGTCAAAGAGATGTAGACCAATGAGGTGAAGTAGAGGAATAACATTCGAATCCACACACCCTCAGCCATCTGATTCTCTACCAAAGATGCCAGAAATGCTTTGGGGACAAGCCCTTTCAACTGCTAGAAGAATTAGAAATCAACATGTAAAGAATGAATTGGACCCTACTTATTGTCTTGTGTGAAAGGCAGTTAAAAATGAATCACAGACCTTCATGTGAAACTCCAAATTCCGAGACTATAGGATAGAAACACAGAGAAAACACTTCAAGATGTAGGCATAGCCAAATGTGTTCTCCACAGAACACTCCTGTGTCAAATTATAAGGGGAATAGCTCAGATCTATACATCTCTTTCCTAAGTCTAGGATTACTTGTGAGTCAGATGAAATAATTGTTGAGGGGAGGAGATGAAAGTTACATTTCAGGGTCTGAGATTGCACAGAGTACTTGCTTCTCCCTGACATGGTGACAACTTTAGAAACCGAAGTCCCTAATATTTTATGGTAGCCAAGAACACTGTAAACCCCGGAGATATAAATATTGCCAAGCAACTGCACCAGCTAGAAGAACTCAGCCAAAGCTTGTCTGCTCCAAGCCATCGTGGTGAGTGGACGTGATAGATCATCGATTTAATCACATATGTCAGTTTTCCTCACAAGCATAAATGTTGGTCTGTCTTTGAATGATCAGTAAACTGGAAAGGATGAGCCTGAGGACCTTGAGCATCTCTTTCTCCGTGCTCAAGTTCCGTGTTCTCCTCTCATCACAGAGCTCCATGGTGGCCTTTGCATGAAGCCATCTCAGTGCTTCATCTGGAAACTGTTTCTTAAAAACTCACATTTCTTCAGCTTCTGCTATGTCCTGATTTATGATGCTGGTAGCATCATAATAGTTTAGGAAAGTCTACTCACCTGATTTCAGTGAGCTTTTGGGATCCAATGAGTCACCTGCTTTTTTTTTTTTTTTAATTGCTTTATCACATGTGAATTGGATTTAAATGACAATATTCTTTTTTTTTTTTTCCAGTTTTGCACTTTATTGTCGTTGCCACCTCAGGCCTTGACTGCGCAGCAGGTATAACCTCTCCTTTTCCTGCTGCTTCTTGGTCTTCAGCTTCTCTTCGTGCTTGGTAAGCCAGCGGCGCATGGCTATAGTCTTCTTGGGTCGCAGGTCCAGAGGCTTGTATTTCTTGCCCTTGTAGAATTTCCTGAGGTTTTCTTTTTGAATCTGATTAATGACAATAAGGACACGGCAATGGATTTGCGGACGACTCGTATCTTGGACAGCTTGGACGCGGCACCTCTTGTCACCTTGACGACGCAAAGCTGAGACAGCTCCACCTTCAGATCTTTGTTTCAACAGCTCCTCCTTCATGCCGCGCAGGTCCTGAACCTTAATCTTGGCCATGGCTGCACTGCTCACCGCTAAAGACTCCTGGTTCGACGACAATATTCTTTTTCTAAGTCCACCCTGATAATATCCTTATCTTCATACATATTATATGATACATGAAAATAATGAAATGTTTGAAATGCAGAACAAAAAAAAAAAAAATAATGTTTTTCAAATGATCAGTGATTTCAAAGAGAATTCAGGATGAAAGAAAGAGATGAATTCACAATGCAGACCAGAAAGTCAACAGTGCAGAATACACATTCAGAAAGAAAATTGAGATTTTGAAGAAAAAAAGAAACAAACAGAAATATTAGAAATGGGGGCTGGAGAGATGACTCAGTGGTTAAGACTGTTCTTCTGAAGGTCTTGAGTTCAACTCCCAGCACCCACATGGCGGCTTACAATTGTCTGATGCTGTCTTCTGGTATACAGATATACA